CCAGTTTTCGTGCCTGAATCTTAGGGCAGGTCGAAACAAATGAGGGCCTAAAAATAGCCCAGGGCCTAAGAATAGCCCTCCGTTTCAGGCTGGAAAAAGGGATTCCATGGGTTATTGGGAACTTATGGCTGCTTAGACGCCGGCCCGTCGGGGGTTATCTGGCAAATGGAGGGGTGGTTCAAAAGGTAGGAGGTTCTGGAAAGCCTTTCTGATTTTTTTCCTTGATTTTCAAAAGAGTGTTTGATCGAGCACCACCCAACCACCTTTCAGTCCCCTCCGACGCCCTTCAGCCACCACTACCTTTCCCAGGCAACGCAGAGAACAAAAAATGTGACATTCCGGGTTCTTCTGATCAACGGTGCTACCGGACCACAGTGGCCGGCGGCACCAGCCAAAAGAAAGAAATGCCGCACTGGCATTTCGGCAAAGCTTGGCGTGCAGTTCTTTTCCACGTCAGCAAAAAAAGAGGCCCGGAGGGCAGTGGTGCCTTAAACCGCTAGTACACAGCTCCAGCCTTGCAGCAAGTTTTGGTCGCCACAAGCAAAACTCGGAGGCGCCGCGCAGCCAGGCCCACCGTGGAAAAACAAAATTGGCGGCCTCCGAAGTGGTGCTGGTTTCGTGCTGACACCCGCTGGGCGATATGTGCTGTACTGGTGGTCTAAAAATTACATCCTCTGGACCACAGTGGCTGGCGGCACGGGCCAAAAGAAAGAAACGCCGCACTGGTGTTTCGGCAAAGATTGGCGTGCAGTTTTTTTCCATGTCAGCAAAAAGCGAGACCCGCAGGGGAGTAGTGGCTTATTAAGCCCTCTCGGCACAAACCTCTCCCCAAATCCTGAAATTCCCTAACACTCCCCTCCCTCCTCTCTCCCTCCTAAACACAGTTTTTGGAACAAGCCTGTTTTCCTGGCACTGTACTTGCCATGTCTACCACTTTTCAACTTGCCCCAGAAATATCGGTCAGCTCCCCGTGTCCAGGTCACCTAGATGTCTTCTTTCCTCAGGCATGTGGAATATTTCATTGCTACAACCTGGCGCCAACCCTTGCCCCTTTCCATCAGACAGCGTAACTGTTGCTTTTCTTTGCTGTTGCCCTGTGTTTTGTTTTTCAAAGAAAAAAGCCCCTTCCATTCTGGGGCGGTGCGTCAGTCCGGTTGCTTCTTACAGGGCAAGCAAATACCCCCCCTATCGCTTCAATATAAGACCGCTCTGGATTACAAGTAGCTTCAGAGTGCGCACGACATCACCAGTGAACATGGGAAATGAGTCAAATGACACTTTTAAGTTCTAACCAAGCCTCCAGGTATGAGAAAGCAAAGCAAATGAGTTCCTCCAGTTGAGTCCCAGAAATAGAGGATTCCAATGGTGCCCAGGGTATATACTCACACTAGGACTTTCCTAAATGTACCTGACGGCAATTACGGCCAACACAGGATGTATCTGACCGCAATTACGCCCATACCTGAGTCGAAACCTCCTAGTGCTAATCTGGCCTCAGAGTCATTTTACAAACACGCATGCACTGTCCTTCGGGACATCAGTTAAAACTGGAACAATACAGAGAAGGATCGCATGGCCCCTGCACAACGATGACACCCAAAAATCGAGAAATGGTCCAAATTTTTTATTTTTATTTTTTTGGGGGGGGGGGGGGGGGGGGCGGGCGGAAACACATGCACAAGCATGCGCGCTCTACAACCCAGCCCCTTCCGGCCTGTCCCGTCGAGAGGAAAGAGACCTTCACAAACATTCACTGAACCTTTCAATTCGCACACGATCAAAGCTTGGGACAGATTGCTCACTGTCGGACGTGACGACCAATGGTGTTGGTTGTCCGTCCTAGCGCAAGACTCGCCGCTGGCCTGTATTTTGGATGAAAATAAATTAAACTAGATGACCTGTTGCGGCTTCGCTCACAAAAACAAATACGATGCAAAGTCTCTCTCTCTCTCTCTCTCTCTCTCTCTCTCTCTCTCTCTCTCTCTCTCTCTCTCTCTCTCTCTCTCTCTCTCTCTCTCTCTCTC